TTAAATGGAACAAAATAAATGACAGACATGATTCTTACAGGTCCATTATAATGTCCATATTCAGCATGAAGAGGAGACAACATCCACTCCATAACAATGAATATTCACAGAAAAGTGGGATGTGACCCAGGGTTCTGCAGAAGGCTTGCAGTTTTCAGAACGTGTACCAACTTTTCTGGAAATCTGGTTTGTAGTACCAGATGTGTGGGGCCTGTACTGTAAATAGTGTTGCAGACATTTCCCATTTACTTCTTCAAATACTTCAAATGCACAAATAAAATTGAAAGAACACTTGTTTGATAGACGTAGACCGAGGTCGGTGCAGGAACTGCATGGACAGCATCAGTGAATTCAGCATAAGGGCTGTTGATATATTGTCTTAAAGGCCCAGACTGGGAAATCCGTAGCAACCATGCATCCCTTTATCAGTCCAACTCTTTTTTTTTGCCATCTGTTTTCTTAAGGAGCCTTTAATACAGTACTGAGTGCACAGCTTCCTGAGAGTTAGCTAGGTACTGTACTAATATAAAACTCACTGCACATCTAGCTATCTGCTCATTAAAGTGGATGAAAACCCAAATGTTCCTCTGACAACAATGACTTCATGAGGCCCAGACAAATTAGAATCCTGAAGTGGAACATATATTTGTTTTTCTTTAAATGAATAGGGGTCTGGTAGTTGAGTAGTGCACATGATTGTATATAAGGTCCATGTGACATAAAGTGGCCCATAACTGGGCCAGATCTACTTATCTGGTCTATATGAGGGAGACGAGAGGCAATAGTGGGGAAAGCCCAGATTTGACAAACAGGAGTGGACCACTAGCACAAGTGCTACAATTCCATAGCATATGTGGACCAAACGAAAGTGTCACACGTGCTGAATCTGGGTCAAAATATTGTGCTATTAAGTATTTGGTATGAACTCTTGATTATTTTATATAATGTTCCTTATTCTGCTTCATTTTTCAGATTTTGGATTTGTTTTAATCATGAATTTCTCTAGCACAATGTCAGATGGATTACTGTTGTTTATATTGCACAATAATCAGTCCTTCACAGGACTGTTCTGTATGTCCCATGTCATGTTGCCCACTCTCTTCTCACATGGTCAACCAGCTCAGGGTTTTACAGTGAGATCCTTTAACTCACTTATATGGGCCATGTCACGTCGGTCCACAAATAAAAAAACTAGCAACTGTGTGCTTTTACTGCACAGCACACTTTACCCCTGCACTGACCTGATCCAGGTTTGGTGCTCTAGCGGGCTCACTTGACAGGATCTCAGGCCTGGAGTGCTGGAGCCCCCGGGGCCCACCCAATAAACAGCGTTCTGCTCTGTTACACTGTGCAGCTGCCGATCATCACATGTTCTATTTGCATCTAGAGCAATGACTGTGATGTGAAGACGACCAGAGTCATCGAGGCAAACACATCGAGCGGTTCTGGGGCTACAGAAGCTATTACAGTGCAAATGAGTACGTCGGTGAGTCACTGGCCTCACACTGCAGCGTCAACACACCCAGGAAAAGATGCTCCTGCAGCTGATTGAAATTCCCATCCTCCTCTGATGCAACTCTGATTTCAATTTAGGACCAAATGAAACAAGAATATAAAATCTGGTAGATATAAGACAAGACTACATTTATTTAATTTGTGCCAGTTTAGTGTGAGGCCCTCGACCTCTGACCTCTTGACCGTACTGTTAATAAAAATGTATCTCATGTGGTAGGAAATCTAGTCACAGTATATTTTACTAACTTACACAGCATAACAGTGACAGGCCACTCTTTTCGACAGCACTTGTTGCAGAAATAAATTTAATTTTTTGAAATATAATATATCTACGTTGTTTTAATCCTAGAGTCAGGTCAATCAGTGACACAAATTTGGACAAATGCGTTTGTTCTATTCTGGAACCACAGTGTTGAGCTGCATAAACTTTGGATTAAACACATTTTAGTTTATGTGTGTGTATGTGTGTGTGTTTTCTGTCTAAATACTTAATTCATATGACTACTGCAAAGCGGCAAAGAGGCATCTTAGTGACATCACCTTAAGTGCAGCACTTGGGGCTTCCCTCTGAGAGAAGGCCAACTCATACGAGGATATTCACACAGACTCATGACATTTACAGAGTTAATTAATCACCGTATGCTGGAACTGTAAACTGGAGGTGACTGCACACAGGAACAGAACAAAGTCAAGAACCCTTCTCCATTTTTGGGTAACTGCATGTTCTACAGGAGAAAAACCCACCACAGTTTAGGTATTTTTCGAGGCCATGCTTTAAGGAAGCATCTCATCGCATTGATTCTTGGTATTCTGTTTTTTTTTTTCCATCCATTTTATTCCCTCCACATCTGCAATAAGAAGTCGGATAACAAACACAATGGATCCTCACGTACTCCAATGCTTTTCCAGCACAAGAAAAACACTGAAATCATAAGTAGAATACTTAATGCATTAGAGTCAGATGAGGTTTTGTTGTCGGCTGTTTCTGTCAGCAGAAATGTTATTTACATTGTTTCGTATGTACAGTAGTAGAGAATCTCCCAGAGATGTTATAGGTTCCGTAAAGCTGCAGTGGGGGTCAACTTTATTTTGAATCCTCATGTCTGACAGTCCTTAGATGAAGAGCCATAAAAGTCCTGAGTAAAATGTTTACAAATGTGAGCCTTGACCTCTGTGTAGAGAAATCCCTGGTCTGCTTTAGGAAACGACGACTGCACACAGACACCGAAAATGACAAATCGATAAACAGCCACAGTCAAATTGAATTCAGGATATTATGGTTCTTCATCTAAAGGAGTTCATTTCTCACAAAAGTCAAGACTTCAAGTGCTTTACATTTTCCGTTTCTGTCGTAAAGATATTTGTCTAGAAGGTTAATCAATAAATGCACTGTACAACCTTGAATATAGTGTACTGTGGTTTCTTTTCTTTTTTCAAAATATAGTTTATCCCAATGTGTGTCTGTTGTTTTTTTTAAATATCTTACAGAATCCTGTACACTTGGTGTATGCACGAAGATGTGGGTGAGAATCCTGATCATTTGAGAGGAGAGAATGAGATGAAAGTAGAGGAGGACAGAGCAAAAGAAGGAGAAGTAGGTGAGCGAGAGAGAAGAAGTCAACCCGCGCTGTGTCACTGCACTCAGTGTAGACGCTGCACTCCGTACCGTGGCTCTCGTCTTTCTCGAACCTCAATCTGGAACAAAACAATACACAGGTTTGTCAAATATTAAAACACGGATGAAAGACATTTAAACGAGTGAACCGAATAAAAACAGAAATCCAGAGGTGTCAGTGCAGAGGTCAGTGAAAGGTCATTCTGACCCTCAAACGTTAAGATAGCCCTAAACGTTCAACAACGGGAATCTCAAATCTCAAAAATTGCCCAAAAATTTCCAAAAGCCGAGTAACATGCTTAAAGCTAGCTGAAAACAGTGACCTAAATAGTTAAACCTTTATTAGTAAAACTTTAGGTTAAAAAGCCAGTTGATGATAGTAAAAGGCAAAAAAGTTGGTACACTACAGTTAGTGCAGAAGAACAATGTTTCCATCTATATTTTATTAAATCCTTAATTTTATCTGTTTGTATGGTTTATAATTTATATTCATAAAAAATTAAAATTATCTTTAAAATGAACATTTTTCTACCAATGTTATAACTGTTGGCTCAGTAAAAGCCATCAGCCGGACTACGGTCATGACCGTTCTTCCGCTTCCTCCTGTATTAGTGTGATTGCCTGTGCTGTTTATTAGACAACACTGCAAGGCCAACAGCTTTTACTGAGATGTATGACATGTTTCTCTGACACAGTAAAAGTAGAAGTCAACTTACCCTTGACACAGCGAAATCTGCAAGGACAAAAAAGAACAAAGTTTTGGCACTTGCACGCTGCACCAATTAAGGCTAGTAAAAAGTGCATTTGTGCAGAATGTAATAAATGAGTACACAGACATGAGGTGAGCATTTTGCTGTCCTTTTATCAGGTGACTTTCACTTTGGTTCATTTCTACTGCATAGTTACATAGTTCAGGCGCAGAAATGTGCTCAAATGTACCTTTCGACTTTCTTTTAACCCGAATAGAATAATCAGTTTATTACTGTTGACAACATATGTATTTATACACTGTCCATAAATGTCCACACAATGTTTGTTGGACTGACTCATATACAGAGACTTGAGGGACCTTTTTATTTTAGGATGAGTTCACACAGTCGACGAAGCATCAGAAGCATTCAACATTAAGAACCGGCTGAGACAGACAGTGAGGTTAATCAGATCAGAACGGAAGGACACACCCACTCACTGGAATATCTGCAGTTACCATGGAAACCATCACAGGGAGATAGACGGTCGGAGAAACTGAGACATCTCATGTCACTATTCTGTCTTCATCTCCTGCCCTCGCCCCCCCTCCCCCTCCTCCTTCTTCCCCTCCTCCTCCTCCTCCATTTTTACTCCGTCTACAGCCTCTGATGTCATTGATCTTAGTATTTTTTCTTTGTTCTCCGTTCTCTTGTGTTCTTGGAGGTGATGTGAACGCCGAGACGTTATGTTGTTCAACAGTGTAGCCTCCATCGTGACCACTCCGCTGCTATTTTCTGCTGCCTTTCTTCCACTCAGCCAAAACAATGCTTTCAAGCGTCTGTGATGCAACGATGTGCAAACTGTCAGAGAGCGACTCCTGCTGATGAATGCAGCAGTGGAAGCATGTTGGCCAGACCTTCTGAGGTCAGACCACCTTCAGGCAGCTCCTTTATTCTACTCTGTCTTTTATTGCGATAATCAGGTTTGTAAAAGAATATTCTTGAAATAATTGTGATGAAATTCCATTTGATCAAAATGTAAAGATGAAAGATGAAATACACAAATAATTATAGATTTTCTTTTAATTGCATTTTCAGGACCTGTTGTGGTGCAGTGGTAGATTTTCTGGCTGACCCCTGAAGAAAGGTCAAACTTAAAGTGATTGCTGCTGCTTAATACTTAACTCAGTAACTTGTACTTTCTTTGGAAAAGATTTAACTGTAGTGTTAAATTTGTGGTGTTAAAACTGACTATTTGTGCGGTTTTCTTACCTTTGTTATCTGTCTGCAGGTCATCCAGATAGAAGTCGGTCTGCCTGTTGCCCAGCACAAAGGCCAGGAAGGAGAGGATGAGAGCGTCCAGGATGCCCATGATGGCCAGCATATAGGCCCAGCGTACGGAGCAGTCGCCCAGGGAGTATTTCCCCGCCTGCTCCCCGCACATGTCCCTGATCACTTCTGCGTCCCAGCCGTCTGGGAAGATCATGCAACCCAGAACTAGGCACACTCCTGCGGGGGGGGGATGAAGTGAGGGGAGAAAAGAATAACTAAGTTCAAGCACGCTCAGAGATGACACCTGTAGTCTTAAAGGGACATTTGGTAAAAATCTGAAACAAGTTGGAACAGCCGAAGGGTTCAGAGGGAGGTTGGCTTATCTTTCTAGTGTATAATAAAAAAACATTACAATTCTATGCCAAGAAGATCTTTAGTACATTTCCCAGTCAGCAGGGGGCTGTTGCCAGATCTTGAGGGAACAACAAGCAACAAAGTCTACTGTATGTCAAAAGCCCAAGAAGTGAAAGGATTTAGACTCTCTTGAGGTTGGATTCAGTGTTTTAACCATAGACAATATTAATATATAATTACTAATATATATACAGTACTATTTTACTAGTATTAGGTATTCATTTTTACACACTGCATTCCAGGTATAAAATATTTTCATGTCAATCAACAACTCAGATGGTGTACAGTACATTGTGTTTACAGAAGGGAGGATACCCAAGGAAAATAGCCAAACCCCACCACAAAGGAAACGAGTATTAGCCAATCACAGGCAGAGTGGGGCTGTTGCCTAGTCAACTTCCTTCTGCTACTTGCTTCATTGCTTCATTGTTTTTTTCTTTCTGGATATTTATATACCTGTTTCTGCCACAGGTCGTCTTACTTTGCTGATATCAAACCCAACATTGGTGTTTGTCGATATGCTAATCTGATGGCACCGTACACTAAAACAACAGTCTGCACACTGAGCCTATGTATTTGTATATTGTGTGTGCATTTGTCATTCAGTAATCAATGTCAATTTGTCAATGTGCAGAGCAGTAAATAATGTGCTTCTATTAATCCTTGCTAAGCTTCACACTGTGATTTAATGCTAATGAGCTCATTGTGGCCTCGGCCTAAACCGCTGGGTTTCGACACCTGCCTGTTGTTGGGTTTAACAGTGAGATAACAGGATAGGAGGTAGAGGATAGATGCATGGATGTTTTTGCACCGAAGGAATAATGGTCTGCATATGTAAACCATCATAAGACAAGTGATAAAAGGATGGAATTTGAAATATATATAAATATTTACATCACACCCACAATCTTGTTTGCTCTTACAGAGAGAAGTGAATCCATGCGACACAAAACAAGAACACAACACAATCCACAGTGAAAAAGCCCTATGGGGAAATCCATACATGCAACTGTGACACTAATAAAAGTGGTAATCCATACTCTACACTTTTGCTCATTTATCAAAAGGCAGGATCAGCCATGATGGGTGGATGCTGCTCTCTTCTGAGGCATCCTGCACATTTTAAATGTTAAGCAGTTTAGTGCGTGGGAATGGAGGTCCACAGCGGACCACGCAGGACAATACAGGACAGGCATCTCATTGAACGTGCATCCCAGAGCAAAGGCAGCATCACTCATAACACGGGCAGTCGGAGAGATTAGACCACGTCGGTGAGTGTCATCACTCACATCATCCAGAGCATGTTCATCGTATGGAATCACTTAGGTGTGCAACGGTGGATTTCAAAGATGTCTCTGATGTAAAGCACCTGGACACAGTAGCAGCTGCAGCGTGTGATGACGGTGAACACAGAGGATAACACTGTCCATAAATTCTGCTGATCAGCTGCTGAGAGCACAAACGTGAATAAGTTCTGTTGGCTGTGAGGGCCCTTAAAGGTCATTAACGGCTTTAGTTGCAGAACCGGCAGAAAGAGAACTCTGGAGTCCGCTAACGCCGCCCAGAGATGGTTTAAAAATAAGTTCATTAACAGATGCAGAGATGCAGAGTAGAGATGAAAAGGCAGTTGAAATGGTTTAAGCCTATAAAATGAACTTCTCAACCTGAGGACATACCAATATTTAGGACATACTGTGTTTCAAGACCTGCAACTGTTTTGTAAATATTGTTGAAAAGTAAACATAAAGGTCCATGATTTAATAAGGGATTAGACAAGGAAAACATGACCCAAGGAATATGTTCACAAGAATACACACTGATCATCATTTAGGGAACATTGGATTTTCACGGCCCCTGAATAAACTTGACCAAAGTGCAGACATGCATGAGCTGGTGGTGTTTATTGAATATGGAGGTGACATCTCAGACTCTACCAAAGTAAAGTCCATTACTCATATGGCTAACCTTGTCACATAAGGGATTCCCTTTGAACACCCGTGTGTTTCCTCATCTCCCAACCATCCATCACGAGGAGATAGTGGGAGGTAAACTCCTGACAACGCACCAGGGCGGATATCGGATTAGTCACCAGCCCCTCCACGTGAAACACAAAACCATGCAAATGTGAGGAGTTCCCGTTTCTGACTGTGACTGCTCATCTGACAAATATAATTGCAGGTATAATGAGCGGGCGTAATGAGAAAAAACATAATAACGACAATTCTGCTGTAAGTAATGAGAGGATAAAGTGGCATCTGAGGGAATCGTCTTGGGAAATCATCATGTTATTAGCTTCTTTTATGACCCTGATACAAGATATTAACACGGAAGAGAGGTGATAAAATCATTAGCCGAGTAATGAGCGTCATATAACATGTTTTATGGATTTTTGATGAATGTTTCCCCAATCCACGTTAAATCACTTCCACAGTCATTGACTATGGGCCTTTTGGAAATCTGAGACACAGCTACTTGATGAAAGTTACAATGAATAAGTTCCATGTTAATAAATCATTTTCCTCTTCTTGTTAATTGATGCTTAATCAATTAAGTAATCGCAACGAGGCAGCCTTTAGCTCATTACATGCTAATATTTCATCAAAACATTCAACAGTAACTTAATTCACTTTGAAAACAACTAATTAAAGAAAGAGATTACAGCCAACCCTAAACAACACACTCCCGGCTGTGGTGATATTATGGCTTGTGGGTGAAAGTAGCGCAGAGCTCCGTTGGTTCGTGGAGACGTACACCTTTTCATATATTTTCACAAATATGACACGTTGGGATATTTTTGCAAATTAACATCTACATTTCTGCTTAAAATAAAGATAAAGTCGTCGTACGTCATATAAACACTCAGTTGGTCTAACGGTCAACAATCCACTCAATGACTGGTTGTTTTGCTTACATTTCTACGTACCATTCCATCAATAGCTAGGGAAAAATGGCCACCTTTTTTATTAAATTAGTTTTGATGCAAATAACTACAACATTTGATATTTCATTTTATGATAGACATGTACTGTAGTAAACAGGAAAGACTTGTGGACTTGAGTGCGGGACGATGCCAGGACAAGTGTGTTCTTTCCTCTATCTGCCCTTCTTCCTAAACTCAAGTGTTTGCCAGAGAACTATAAATAACCTGCACCTCCCCACAACCCTGGAAAAGCCTTTTGAAGTTGCTGGGGGTCTTTCCTCTCCTTTCCTCCTCCTCCTCCTCCTCTCCTCTGTCTCAAGACACTACATTCTGAACAAGGAAAAAGAAGGAACATCAAAGCAGAGGCCTCAGAATGAGAGGGAGGACGGGACACGACAAAATGATTGACAGAGAGAAGGTATAAAAAAAGAGGAGAAAAGGAGTCACGGCAGAACAGAAGAACGATAACTAGTTGGCTTCAGCTTCTGCATTTAGTCTTTTTTTTTACTCATCTCACTTCATTTCTTTTCATCACCACATTCACAGCTCGTCGCTCGTTAGAAACCAGCCATCAAAGCGTACCACGCTAATGAAATGCTCGGCCAAGACACATTTCTGATTCAACTCCTCACATTTACTGAGCCAATTTATTTATAGCACTGGCAGGATATTTATAGGCTCATTGCATAACAATTTTGTCAGACTTTCTTATCTCCACGTCCACACACATTCCACTCTTTCTTATTCCCGACAAACAGCCAGAAGTTATTATATAAGAGCTCCTGAAATACCACCAGTCTGCTATTTCTGGAGGTGTTGGAGATATTTTTTGACAGGAGCAGCTGAGGGTTTCACACCAAACCTTCTGACTTCATGTTTGCCTTGTGCGCGCACACACACACACACATACACACAAGACACCATCCAACGCTTCTGTGTTTGTAACTTTATGACAGTCTGTGCTGGAGTTTTTTTTTTTGTTTGTTTGTTTTTTTGACTAAATAAAAAACATACTGTACATGCAACACTTGCTCTCAGCTTTGGAAATAAAAAGAAGATCTGAATGAACTCCCACAATCTGGAGGAACAGATTCACGCTGTAGCTGCTCTTCTGCTGCTAAGTAGACACCAAAAACCATCTGCAAATAGTCACTTTGTAGAAACCAGTGTGAACTAGTGTTACTGGAGAAAGAAATGGCATCATCACAGTTTGGTTGTTGGTGAAAAAACGTGTACAAGTGATGACAGGAATTTGCAGAACCTGTTCAAAAAGAATGGACTGTATAACACACACACAGCGTTAGGCTAACTATTACCAACCCTCTGTAAAGGGAAACGTCCATATTTTATTAGTTAGCTTTTATTCTTCAACTGAACTTGTAGCTACTTTTTTTTCAAGGTTTGGATTTATTGTAAAATATACTTGTTTCTAAATTTCAACTGACCTTTAAATAACCATTTCTTAAAATTTAATAAAAAGAAAGTTTTCTGCATTTCATCTATCGTTCCCACTTAGCTATTATTATTATATATTAATAATATATATATATATAATAATATATAATATTATTAATATATTATTATTGTTAGCTAACAAAGCTAACAAAAGTAATTAGTCGGGCTCCAGTTATTATTTATAGCTACATTAGAGACAACCCTCTGCTGTGATCACATGTTAACAAGCTCAATTTTAAAGGGAGAGTACGCAGCAATTTTCTTATAAAAGAAAAACTAAAACGTATATGTAGCAACTAATTTGCATATATATGCTAATGTAACATTTAAAAATTAAATGTTTGTCTTTTTGCCCAACAACAAATGTTTATATATACGTCTCACACTTTTTGTCAAAGACAAAAACCCAAAGTCGTGTTGTCGATCTACAAGCAGGCAGAAAGGTTGA